GAAAAAGCCGAGTTAGAACCTTCAGGGCTTTAATTACTGCACCATTTTCAAAAAGCCCAAACCATATTCGGGCTTGGCCCAGATCCCATTTCTTTCTAGTTGCGTTTTAAATTTCATAACCTTCAGGGCTTTAATTTCCCATGTTATCTACCCCCTTTTCCTTTTTCTATTTCCAAAAAATGAAGAATACAATAAACTGGAAAAGATTATGAAATTGATATCATATATATATATATAGCGTTTAGAAAAATAGGATTCATTTATATAGTTTATGAAACCATTAACACTAACCAATATTATTATTGCTATTACAGGGCGATGATTGATACAACTTCACACATGCTCCACTTGGCTTGGAGGATACAGCTCAGTTGCTGGTAGAGCTCTGTTCTTGCAGTTGTGTTGTTGCCATAAAAATATAAGAACTAATTAATAATTTTAATTCCTATTGTTAAATCATTAGGCTCTGCTGAATCGGCTAGTCCAAACCGGAGTATACGTATGCTTTTACAGTCAAAGCTTTGAATGATAATTTTCTGCTGTAACATCTTAACCACCAGTGACGAATTATCAAAGATTCTAAGCCTTAAAGATCTCGAACAGAAAACTAAATTACAGCCTTGTTCCATGCATAAATAGCAAGAAAGAAGACACAACTATGCATGGAATTTGCAAACAATGGAGAAACAAACAATTTTTATCTTCAGTGTCTTGCTTCTAGCTACTTTGTCATTGAGTCATGGGTTCAATGGCAAGGAAAGAAAGGTTGTATCTGGATTTTTTTCAATATTTAAAGTAGTTGGATTATTTATTATTGTTAACAATAAGAAATTTTGTTGGTTTTTATCACTAGGCTTACATTGTCTACATGGGAAATGCACCTAAGACTCACCACATTTCTACTGCTGATCGTCATCATGCTTTTCTCTCATCAGCTCTTGGAGAGTAAGTGAGACAGTTGAGCTGAGAATATCTTTTTCGTAAAAAAATTTGTACATGTGTTTTTATGTATTTCACCTTGTTCTTGTTCTTTTCAGTGATGATGTAGCTCGACGGATTAGAATACACAGCTATGGAAAGAGTTCTGATGCATTCGCAGCGCATCTATTGGCAGAGGAAGCTGAGAGATGAAAACGTCTTGAAACCATAAAATTTGTAATGAAATAAATTAAATTCTGTGAAGATTTATTTATTAATACACACACACACACACACACACGCACGCACGCACGCACGCACACTTTTTCTTTTTTTAGTAATTTACAGGGGATGAAAACGTTGTCTCGGTGTTTTTAAGTACCAAGAGAAAGCTTCTCACCACAAGATCATGGGATTTTATAGGAATGCCTCTTTCAGTAGAAAGAAAACCACAAGTGGAAAGTAGCATTGTTGTTGGTGTTTTAGACACGGGTATGATGTTTTCTTTTTATACTTGGTTGAACGCCTGATCTTTCCCTTTTAGTTGGTGCTAGAGGGAAGTAACTTTTGGTGATTATCCTCAGGAGTTTATATTGATGCCCCAAGCTTTGATGACAAAGGTTTTGGGCCGCCTCCATCATCGTGGAAGGGTGCTTGCCAAAAAGGAAGCAACTTCACTGGCTGCAACAAGTAGATTTTTCCATATTCATTAATGTTTTAATTACTAGTCTGAAATAGAGGCATCAAAATCACCAAGATTTAGGTAGCATTTGGTATATTGAATTCGGTGCACAGCATGAGACAGATAAAAAGCAAATTTTGCCCCTTCCACGCCTAGATTCTGTCACGTTTCTGTCGACATTGGGCCGATTAGTCTCGATATGAGTTCTATTTGCTCAACAAACAAACATAAGCTAGAGATCAGATATAACTTTCTCTGAAAATCCTATGTGAACAACCAATCTCTCCTTTTTAATCTTTTCCGATGAATAATTTCCCTGTATTTTTGACACTGTGATGCCTGCCTACAGCAAGGTGATAGGCGCGGGGTCATACGACTTAGAAAACAGACGTCCTGATGAAAACACCCCAGTTGATGACGAAGGCCATGGCACCCATACTTCCTCCACAGTAGCTGGCATCTCGGTTGAGGGTGCAAGCCTGTATGGCCTGGGCCAAGGCTCTTCTCGAGGTGGGGTTCCGTCATCCTGGCTGGCAATCTATAAAGTGTGCTACGAAGATGGGGTGTAGTGACATGGACATAATGGCTGCATTTGACGATGTTATCCAGGATGGTGTTGATATGATATCATTGTCAGTCGGTGGGCCAGTTTCAGATTACTTCAACGATGCGATTGCGATCGGATCATTTTATGCACTGAAGAAAGGGATCCTGACTAGTTGTGCGGCAGGGAATGTAGGGCCAGCTTTAGCTTCAGTAGGAAATGTGGCTCCTTGGATTTTAACTGTCGGTGCTAGTGGCATGGATAGGCAGTTCAGGACTCCTCTTACCATTGGAGATAGCATAAAGACTTCTGTAAGTCTCTCTAGATCATCACATGATGATTTCTATTTCAATTTGGCACTGATAAACATAAACTACAGGATGATAAATAAACGTGGCTCGGCATTTAATTTCCTTATGTTTTCCGTCAATTTTTTGAATGTCAATCGATTGTACTACTGATATGATTGGCTGCAATAACAGGGAATTTCTGTCAACACCTTCAAACCAAAAGCAAGAATGTACCCCCTTACCAGCGCAGCACAAGCATGGAACGATAGTGTGCAGATGCCAGATGCCGCGGGGTAAGGGCATTATGCATATTATGCATCTTGTTGAGAATTAACTGGACACCATCAACGATGTATTAACCAACCAACAGTTTTAGCACATATAATAATGAATCCAGTAACGCAGGTATTGTTTTGTTGATGCTTTGGACAAAAACGAGGTCAAGGGAAAGATTGTGCTATGTAAAGGAGGATCAGATTCTGACATAATAGAAATGGGTGGTGTTGGGATGATTGTAGCCTCCGATGATTCTCTAGACACAGGGTTTGCCTTGGTACTGCCTGCAGCAATTGTTAACAGTGAACGTGGATGGATAAATACATCAACACAACCAAGTATGTTTATATATAACTCTCATTTTCTACATTTCTTTTGAAAATCTACACCAAAAAACATGAATGCCCAGTGTAATTATTTTCTTGATTTGGTTTGCTTACAATGCAGGAACCCTTATGCTGTCATATCCAAATAAAAAACTGTAAATGTTTCTGCTCCATTTGTGGCTTCCTTTTCATCTAGAGGGCCCAACCTGGTTTCTCCCACCACTTTGAAGGTATATATATAAAAAAATGATTGTAGAATGGACCAAAATCTTGCTGGTTCTTCGCATAATCTTGCTGGTTCTTCGCATCGTTAATGCTGCCACATTCATTACTTGTAGCTTTTGATGTTATTAGCCAGATATTGTTGCACCTGGGATTGACATCCTAGATGCTTACTCTAAACTTGTTACCGTGACCGGTGAACCCATCGACAACCAGGTTGGAGTACAACATTATATCCGGGACTTCAATGGCTTGCCCTCATGCAACTGGTGCTGCTGCTTACATCAAGACATTCCATCCACAGTGGTCTCCTGCTGCAATCAAATCCGCCCTCATGACCACTGGTTAGTCTCCTAATCATGTCTCCTCTGGACTTGTAATCTTGGCTGTTCAGTATATTAGCATTGCAAACATTGGTTGTTCAAATATGGATGGCCAGCAAGGAATTTTTCAAAGAAAACATTTTACTTCTTATATTTTCTGTAATGTTTCAGCATCCGAAATGAAAATCGGGGATTTGTTTGCTGAATGGGGCTCTGGCGCGGGCCAAATTGACCCAACAAAGGCATTGGATCCAGGATTGATCTATGACTTGCCTAAAATAGATTATATCTGTTTCCTGTACAAGGCGAGCTACTCTAGAACAATACTAAGCATTGTCATAGGAGATCAAAATACAAACTGTTCGAGTATTTCTCCCTTTGGTGGCCATGATGCTTTAAACTATCCATCCATGAATGTTCAGGTTGAAAATCCTCACTCTAGCACCACAGCTGCTTTCATACGGACAGTAACAAAAGTAGGACCTGAAAAATCTACCTACAAGGCAGTGGTGAAGGCACCAAAGGATGTCAAGGTCACTGTAACTCTTGATACATTAGTCTTCAATAATGTTAATGAAAAGAAATTTATCAAGGTGAAGGTACAAGGACACCAATGGAGGATACTCTTGTTTTGTCAGCTTTAATAGTATTAGAAAATAATATAAATTATATTTTAAACTTTATTTAACAATTTAAATTATTAGATTGAGTTAGTTTTTTGATATGGTATCACAGTTTTAATGATTAAGTTGTCATAAGTTTGAATCTCAATATTTTTATTTATTTAATAAAAATTAAACATAAAGTAATGTAAATCTATGCAAATTTCAAACTCAAAGAATTTTCACTTAAGAAACATTAGAAGATGATATAAATTATATCTTTACAAATTTCAAACTCAAAGAACTTTCACTTAAGAAGATACATTAGAAGATGATATAAATTATATCTTAAATATTACATAACAACTTAAATTATTAAATTGAATAGATTTTTTAACAACTAGAATAAATTGACTCAAATAATTATAAGGTAAAGAGTCCTATTGTTATTTCTAACATGGTGCTTCCCATTGGGATATAGTTGGCTAGCTAGATGCAGGATTTTTTTTATAAAAAAAATTAGTTTTGCTTCTATGATTATTATGGGAAAATAAAGCAGGCTTTCTATTTTCTTTAGGTTTGTCGAGTACAGACATAAATTCCTTGTGTTTTGTAGAGCACCAAGTGCAATCAAAGCTTCTTTATGAATTTTTGTAGCCGTTTTTCTTGTTTGATTTTACTTACAAACATTTAAATAGAATAGTGCAAGAATTGTTGCTCTGCAATTATGATTTATGGAATATTTTTTTTACTTTGGAGAGAAGGGATTTGAACCTGGATATGCTGATCCCTTGAACACTAGGCCAACGCTCCATTGACACAAACAATTATTGAATCATATTAGTGAAGCAAGAAAATATTCATGATTACAAACTGGAACCAGCCTGACCTATTCTAGTATAGATCTGACCTTATTATAAACTTAATATAGAACTGCTTTTTATAGCTTTCTGCGAGAGTCAGAGAGATAATTTTATCTATTGCAGACAACTCCACGACCATCGATTCCACTAGCACAATGTAAGTTGGCATACTCGAAATTCTCTGAAGAATTGCCCCTAGGATGCTGACCACTAAATCGAGCAACAGCACAGTCTGTAGCAAAAATATTTGAAGATGCAAATTCCTTTTCACCGCCCAAAACAGGCATGAGAACCCCCATCTTAACCCTACTCACATAGTTGCTACCATATGTCTGGCCTAGAACACCATTTACATCTCCACTCAATTTGTAGAACTTGAAGCTCAAATCAAGATGTGCAAAGCAATTCTCTGAGGCAATGCCATAGTTGTGAATTCTTGAATCCTTCTGTGTAATAGGCACCACGGCTGCCTTGATCTTGAAATTGTCTTCCGCTTCGATGACTACAGCATTTGCGTCACTAGACCTTGTGATGGTCACACTTGGTGATATTTCTGCCTTCCACTTCATGCCTTCCCCACCAGGGAGGTATATGGGCTCTCCATCTAAGGCTAACGAAAGGCGGTCGACGGAGTCATCCCATGTAGCTGTCTTTTGAGCACCGATGAAGAGTTTATGGGTGCCAAAGAGAATGCCTAGAGATTGCACCCAAGTGAAGTCCCTCGTCAACTTTTCGTTGCGGCGACCGATGAAGTGAGCATTGATGTGTAAGTTAGAATCAGAAACTATGCAAAAGTCTCGGTCTTTTTTTCCATGGAAGTAGAAGGTGATTCCATCTCCACCGATGAACCGCGGGTCTTGGCACACAGCACCTGGCCGGTCACAGTCTGTTCGCAACAAGGAAAAAATACATCAATATACAATGCTCATTAAACATAAAATGTTTTGCAGACAACTTACTTAGTTTTCATGATACTGATAGGAAAAATATTCTCTGCGGATGTAGAGATAAATTAATGAAGAAAAATAAAAGATAATATTTACTGAGATTAGGACTTTGATGGAAGGAGTTAGAGAAACATACTGCAAACAGCCTTGCAAATGGTACAATCAACCTCACATTGATAGGGGCAGGCACTAGGACAGGTGTACTCCTGACCATAGCAAGTGGCATAGTTCCTGTTTTTGCACCTAGCTCTCATTGGAGCTGATTCACTTGAATCTGGTGGGGGTGGAGGATATTGAGTAGGGGGGGTAGTAGTTGCTGGAGGTGGAGTGCTTGATGAAGGTGGGGTGGACGTAGTTGGAGGTGGGCTCAGAGAAGGTGGTGGAGATTTAGATGGCTTTGAGCAAACTGGGGTGCATGTAGCACAATCCACATAACAGTTACGAGGACACTCTGGTGGGCAATAGAGGTTTTTAGTTTTGAAACATACAGGGTAGTTCTTCTTGTCACGGCACTTTCTTGCTTTCTTTGGCTTTTGAGGAGCTGCCTCAGCCACAATGGCTAGGAAAATTACGAGTAAACATATGGATAATCGAGCCATAGCTTGATCCTTCGGTTATGTGATTTGTTGAATCAAGTGTTGTGATGGAGGTTCTTGACCTAGAGCTCCTTTTATACTGCTTTTTAGAAGGCAATTGCAAGTTATGTACCCTAAATTTTTAGCATAAAAAGCCTTGTATACTTCCTTTCTACTTCAAGTGTTTTTTACTTCGATCATTATTTGGTTCTCTCTCACATGCAGGGCATGTCTAATTTCAGAAGTCAGCCTTAAAATATAGATCTCTCTTCAAAATATTAAGCAATCATCCTCAAATTAACCTGGCTCTGCTGTCAATTCTTCTACTTTTCTTTCCTTTTTGGTGAATATTTCTTGAAATACATATACTAGCAACACGAATAAAAATATCCAGGTTGCATTCGTGTTCCGAGCAGGGGGAGTTAGGAAAGTTTTTTAGGGGTGTCAAGATCATAAAAAAAAAATTGTGGAAAATTATTAATGTTTTCTGTTCTTTCGGGGTAAATGTCCTTTGCCAGCCTCCATT